CTGAGATTACAGGCATGCACCACCACGCCTAGCTGATTTTTGTATTTTTAGTAGAGATGAGGTTTCACCATGTTGGTCAGGTTGTTCTTGAACTCCTGACCTCAGGTGATCTGCCCTCCTCAGCCTCCCAAAGTGCTGGGATTACAGGCATGACCCACAGTGCCCAGCCACGACTGTGTCTTTAATTGTCCTGCCTGTCAGCTGAGAATAGGTGAACCCAGCCTGAGGCTGCTCCCATACCTGTGCCCCTGAGCCTCCGCTGGGCCTCACCCCTATCAGGATGACTGAGACTCTAGCAACCCCAGCTCCAGGCACAGATGAGGGCAGGTGCAGAAAACTATAGACTGATCTTACCCATGTGAGTGAAATGCTCTGAAAAGGTCATATCTACATGTAGTATTTCATCTGTCTGCCAGCTGCTCAAACCAAAAAGCTAAACATTGGGTAAAAAAATGAACTGAACTAGGAATCTTATTTCAGCTCTACTTCTGTCTAGCCATGAGATTTTGGCCAGGTTGCTTTGGTGAAGCCTCAGTTTCCTCGCTTATGTATGGAAATGGGGATCTTCAGGCCTCTTTGACTCTGCTATTGCATGGTAGTGTAGTTTTCCTTGCAAGTATGCATGTTACGAGTTCGAATGTGACATGTAGACTGGGGTGCTCTTTATTTTTAATTTTTTGAAATGGAGTTTCACTCTTGTTATCCAGGCTGGAGTGCAATGGCGCGATCTCAGCTCACTGCAACCTCTGCCCACTGCAACCTCCACCTTCTGAGTTCAAGTGATTCTCCTGCCTCAGCCTCCTGAGTAGCTGGGATTACAGGCATGCACCACCATGCCTAGTTAATTTTGTATTTTTAGTAGAGATGGGGTTTCTCCATGTTGGTCAGGCTGGTCTCGAACTCCTGACCTCAGATGATCCACCCACCTTGGCCTCCCAAAGTGCTGGGATTATGGGCATGAGCCACTGCGCCTGGCCTGGGGTGCTTTTTAATGTCACCCACAATAGACAGGAGGCTGCCTTGATTTAATGAACAAGTCTCTGTCCATTCTGCAGAGACTGGGGATTGTGGTGGAGAGAGACATCATGAACTTGGAGAGACAGTCAAAAATAGACAATGGTGCTAGGGTGAGAGGGGAAGCAAGAATGCCCAGTTCAGACAGAGCAGGCAGATCAGGCAGAAAGGTGCGGGGCCCTGAGACCCTGGGACTCAGGCTCAGAACGTCAGAGGGAAGAAGTCAGCAACTCAAAGGCAAGCCCCAGATTCGCCTGTCTTAGGATGGTGTGGTTGTAAATTATTTGTGCCAAGACTTCTTATGAGAGAGAGTCAGAGAGAGAGAGAGAGAGAGGAGAGAGAGAGAGAGAGGGAGACTGGAGATAGAGATGAATAACAGAGTTCACCTAGGTGCAATTTAGTCTCTGCCTCATTTTCCTAGGCTTATGGTATCCTTATTATCCTTGGAGTACCATGTTTCCTCCAGTCCTTGTTAGAGGAAAGAGCAGAGTCCTAAAGCCAGAGTGAAGCCTAGTTTGGCCTCCTCTCTGGGAGTCGTCTCAGGGAGCCACCTGGTCCGTCAGCCTTGCCCAGGCAGAACACAATTGGTTCCTCTGGCAAGTCAGGTCCTTGGAAAATACACGTTCCCCTGCATTTCCCTGCTACTGAATCAGAAGCTGTTCCCAAGACTGAGCCAGAGCGGCTGAGTCATGCTTGGTCCTGAGGTTAGCAAGTGCCCAGCATAGAATGAGCAGGAAAGAGGAGATTGTTATTGCTGAATGCAATAGGAAAGGCACTTTCATGGCTTCTGAGTGGAAGTTCCCTGCCCCTCAAGCCCTGTAGCTCAGAGGTATGCTTCTGCCTCCCTGTTGTCTCCCAGATTTAGCTGTTAACCTAAGGGGGCTGTTTGGGAACGGTGGAAGTTGAATTTCTCTTGCCTCCTTCCTTCCTTCTCAGGCTACTCAGAGCCAGAGCCCTTCTTGACTAAGACCTTGCAGAGACAAGCCCTAGGAATTTGAACACCCCTAACGCTAGGCGCTGTCTGCTTTGGTCACTGCTGTGTCCCCCGGACTCCCTGAACAGTCAGCTCGCCATGCTGTTGGAGGCATGATTGGAATGTTTTATTTTCTCCTAATGACAGATTATAAACCACTTCCCCATTCTGCAGTCGGGTTCTCCTTTCAAACCCAGAATGATGGGTGTGTGTTTGGGTGGAAGAGAGGGGAGAGGAAGGGACACTCATGGTGGGTGCTGCTGGCTGAGCTGGGAGAGCTCTCTGCCTTCCTGCTACCTGATCGGGGGATTTGGTGAACTTACTCATCCCTCTGCACCTCCTAAGTCCCACCCCTGGCACTCCTGACTAAAGCTTCACCCAAGGACATTAGATGCCCTAGTGTGTCCCAGAACACATTTCTTTCCATGATACGTGGTCTATAGCAGGAAGCTTGGGTTGGGGATGAGGGGTTGACAAGGCTGGGCTCCATCTCTATTTCATCTTCTCTCTATGACACAACAAATAACAGAGTCTTTACTTCTTGTAAAGACTCACTCAAGACCTCCACTCACCCTTGCCCCACTTCTCTGTAGCAGTTTGGAAGCAGTAATAGAAACACCCAAGTAAAAATGGTTTATCAAAAAAAGTTATTTAATGAAATCATTTAACAAAAAATATAGGCAGGTAGCTCCAGCCTTGGTTTAATCAGCCTTGGTGATTAAAGTACCTTTTGGGTTCAGGTTTTTTTTTTTTTAAAAATTGATATAAAGTATACATAACACAATTTACCATTTTAACCAGTTTGAAGTGTCAATTTCATGGCATTAATTACTTTCACATAGTTGTACAATTACTACTTTGTATCTTCAGAACTTTTTCAACACCCCAAACATAAACCTTGTGCCCATCAGACTGTCACTCCTCATGCTTACTCCTTCAGTCCTGGTAACTACTGTTCTCTTTCTGTCTCTGTGAATTTGTTCACTCTCAGTACCTCATGTAAGTGGAATCAAAATATTTATCTGTTTATGTCTGGCTTATTTCACTTAGCATAAAGTTTTCAAGCTTCGTCCATGTTGTAACATGTATCAGTACTTCATTCCTTTCTCAGGCTGAAGGATACTTCCTTATGTACATACCACATTTTGTTTAGTCATTCATTCATTGATGATCATTTGAGTTGTTTCCACTTTCTGCCTCCTGTAAATAATGCTGCTGTGAATATTAGTGCACAAATACTGGTTCAAGTCCCTGCTTTCACTGGGTATGGGTCAATTCCTAGAAGTGAAATTGCAGGATCATGTGGTAATTCTATGTCTGCTGTTTTGAGGAAAGCTGCCACACTATCTTCCACAGTGGCTGCACCATTTTACATTCCCATCACCAACACTCAAGAGTTCCAGTTTCTCTTCTACATCTTCATGGACTGAGATGGTGTCTCGCTCTGTCGCTCAGGCTGGAGTGCAGGGGCGTGAACTCGGCTCCCTGCAATCTCCGCCTCCTGGGTTCAAGTGATTCTCCTGCCTCAGCCTCTGGAGTAGCTGTGATTACAGGTAACTGCCACCACACCTGGCTAATTGTTTTTGTGTGTGTTTTTAGTAGAGACAGGGTTTCACCATATTGGCCAGGCTGGTCTTGAACCCCTGATATCAAGTGATCTGCCCACCTCAGCCTCCCAAAGTGCTGGGACTACAGGCCTGAGCCACCGCACCCAGCCTGATTTTCTTTCTTTTGATACTAGCCATCCTAAAGAGCATGCAGAACTGTCTCACTGGAGTGTAGATTTTCACTTCTTACAACACAGAGTGCCATGGGCTCAGGGGCAGGATGGACAGAGCTCCAGCAGGTGACGTAGAAATTATGGTGAGGGGTGGGGCGCCAGGGCAGGCTTTCTAAACCATGCAAGGGAACCTAGTAAGAACATGGCCTCCTCTGCTTCCTGTGATCACAGTGGGGGCTGCACTGACTCTGAGACCAAGAAGAACCAGTGGACATGAGGCTTGGAAAGCAACTCTGAAGGGAAGGGAGGACTCACGGAGCTGCACTTAGGCAGGAGGCCTTAAAGAGTAGTGGAAGTGTGCCCTGAAGAAGAGCCAACAAAGGAAGGCCTGCTGTCCTTGGGCAGGAAGTCCTTGCTGATCAGGCCATGTGTGGCTAGGATCCGGAGGAGTCCATGGCGAAACTTCTGGCCGATGAAGGCATAGATGAGGGGGTTGAGGCAGCTGTGGAGGATGCCCAGAATCTCGGTGGCATCCAGGGCCCGGTCAATGTCATTGCGGCGCTGACAGGTCTCCTTGATCATCTGGGTCCTCATGAGGGTGTCTGCGAGCAGGACCAGGTGGTAGGGCAGCCAGCAGAGCAGGAAGATGAGGACCACAGCAAAGATGACACGCATGGCCCGGTGCTTCTGCCCCATGTGGGCCTTAAACAGCGTGCGCAGGGTGAATCCGTAGCAGAGCAGCATGACCAGCAGCGGCACAATGAAGCCAAAGGTCTGGGGCAGGATCCGCAACACCATCCGCCATGTTGTTGTATTGTTGCCCATATCCTCATAGCAGACAGGGCTAAAAGAGGGTGGGTAGATGGTCCTTCGGAAGAGCAAGACGGGCAGGGACAGGATCAAGGACAGACCCCAGATGCTGAGACATATGAACTTGACCAAGTAGCGCTTCTGGGTCAGTGTGCGTGTGGCATGGACAATGGCCAGGTAGCGGTCCATGCTGATGCAGGCCAGTAGCAGGATGCCACTGTAGAAGTTGGCTTCCTTCAGGAGTGAGACCACCTTGCACAGGAATGTGCCAAAAATCCAGCCACTCACCTTGGAGGCAGCCCAGATGGGCAAGGTCAGGGCAAAGAGCAGGTCGGCCAAGGCCAGGTTCAGCAGGTAGACATCAGTGACAGAGCGGCCGACCCTGCTGTATAAGATGACTAGCATCACGAGAGAGTTTCCCAGCAGGCTCAGCAGGAATACTAGGGCATAGATAATGACCACAAAATACTTGTTGATTTCCAGGGATTCTGGCTCACATGGGGCAGCATCTAGCAGAAGAGGGGGCAGGTCAGAGCTGTAAGTGTAATTACTAAGATCTTCAAAGAGATCTTCAAAGAGACCTTCGAGGCCGTAGTCAGCCCAGTTAATATGCTCCATTTTTGAGGAAAACTTAAATCCTGACCTATAGGAGAGAGATGAGGGTTACTGCACAGTAAATTCCCCAGATTCTTGCCCATCCACCCAAGAAACTGGTATAGGATTCTTTGTGTTGGCTTGAATATTACATTGAAGTAACTTTCCCTTCAAATTTGTAAGTAGTAACTCTTAGGTTATGAGATAAATTTGGTGATAAATGGTACATTTTATGAAAGGACCATAGTTCTCTTTCATATAAGAGATAAATTTTTAGCATTTCTTTTAGCATCACCATCACCTAAAACTTTGTAGAAAGTTCTCTTTGGAGAATCCCCACAGAACACACAATACTACCTGGATCCTTCAGGGGTGAGCATCTTTGGCTATTAAGGCTCGGCTTAATGTTCAGAAATGTGAGCCACCACTCAGTTCTTTCTTTTTTTCTTTTCTTTTCTTCTTCTTCTTTTTTTTTTTGGTAGAGATGGGGTCCTGCTATGTTGCTCAGAATGGTCTTAAACTTCTGAACTCAAGTAATTCTCCTGCCTCTGTCTCCCAAAGTGCTGGGAATACAGGCATGAGCCACTGCACTCAGCTCCATTCAGTTTTTAGTCAGGGGATTAAGCAGGTCCTCCAACTGGGCTGTACCCTCAGAAAAGATTGTGGTTTGACTATAAAGCTGAAACACGAATCCCTTTGTCCAATTTTCTGAAAGTTATTTCAAAACACATATTCTGGAAAATGGTTTGAACAATATTGGCATGGAGTTTTGGAAGGTTCGAGCTAGAAGAATCTTTAGTTAATTAGTAATGCCCAGCATTTCTCTTTTGGATAGAAGGAGGCCAGCTCTGGGAATGTGTGAGTAGTTTGGAAAAGTATATTAAAAATAATAAGCAAGCGGGCTGCCTGATTCTCTCTGTGGGTGGAAATGTAACAGGTTATTTGGGGAGCAGGCAGATCACTTGAGGTCAGGAGTTTGAGGCCAGCCTGGCCAACATGGTGAAACCCTGTCTCTGTTAAAAATACAAAAATTAGCCAGGCATGGTGGTGCACAACTATAATCCCAGCTACACGGGAGGCTGAGGCACAAGAATTGCTTGAACTCAGGAGATGGAGGTTGAAGTGAGCTGAAATTGCATCACTGTACTCCAGTCTGGGTGACAGAGTGAGACTCTGCCTCAAAAAAAAAAAAATGTATCCCAGTTTCTCAAAGAAGAAGTCAACTAAAGCAAACAGCTCCCTAATTAGCTTTGTTTTGAACCACAAAATAGATCACCCTCCTGTCATTTCCTTAGAGTAAGGGATGACAATCCTACCACCAACCATGTCCAAGTCCATAACTTACCCTCAGATGGAACCCAGTGTCAGAGAAAAACCAGGAAACCAAACACCCCAGGACCCACCTCACACTCACCGGGCTGGGCACACTCAGTAAAAGATGCCCAAGAACAATGTGGGTGAGGAAGTGGAGAAGTCAGAACTCTCCCACATTGCTGGTGAGAATGAAAGATGGCCCAGCTGCTTTGGAAAACAGTTTAGCAGTTGCTCAAAAAAGTTAAACATAGAGTTACCCACCACATGAACCAACAACCCCATCCTAGGTATATACCCAAGAGAATTGAAAGCTAATGTTCATAGCAGCATTCATCATTAAGTTCAAAAAGTGGAAAAAAACCAAATATCCATCAGCTGATGAATGGACAGACAAATTGAGGCACAGTCATGAGCAGCTGAAAGACGGATCACATATACCAGTGGTCCCATAAGATTATGCTGCGTTTTTAGTGTTCTTTCCTATGTTTAGATATACAAATAGTTACCATTGCGTAACAATTACCTACAGTATTCAGTATTTAGAAGCAGTAGGCTTTACCATATAGCCCATGCTATAAATCATATACTCCACGATGTTTACACAACATATTTCTCAGAACGTATCCCCATTGTTAAGCAACCTAGGACTGTATTGCATTCAATGGAATATTATTCAGCCATAAGAAGGAATGAGGAACTGATACACAATACAACATGGATGAACATTGAAAATGTTAGTCTAGGTGAAAGAAGGCAGACACAAAGGTTTTCCTATTGTGTGATTCCATATATGTGAAATGACAAGAACAGGCAAACGGGTTGAATCTGTAGAGACAGAAGGTAGATTGGTGGTTGCCAGGGGCAAGGGGAGTTGGGGGAGGGATGGTAATGAGTATGAAAATTTTCTTTTGAGTGATGAAAGTGTTCTGGAATTAGAGGCAAAGGTTGTAGAATATATTAAAAACTTTAAATGGGTGACTTTTGTGGTATGTGACTTACGTCTCAATTAAGAAAAAGATTAACCAAAGGGTGCACAGCCTTGCAAAGCAAACACAAATATTACAACAATAACAACAAAAGTCCTAGGGAGGATTTCTCTTTAGCAGAAAGGAAGTCTCTGTTGTCATCCATCATATGTAGCAAAGAAGAAAGCTTAAGAGGATTAAGCAAAACTGAAAAAATAATGCCCTTTTCCCCCAAGAGTCCTGGAATTCTCAGCCATCTCCTTCCTGAGAAGCAATTACTTTCCCTTTTAAGAGACGGGGGCCAGATAAGTTGCATTCCCAGCATGCCAAGGCAACTGATAGAGAAGATTCAATCAGTTGATGAACCTAGAGAGGCGTGGTGATGACGGTCAGGCCCTGCCTGGCCAGAAGCCTGAGGAGGCAGTGAGAGGGCTGGGAATACAGCTTACTGGACCAAGTATGGTCAGCAAGACCTGAAAGAAGTCACCAGCTCTGCAGTCCCATTGTCGAGAACAAGTTTGATTAGAGGCCCAGAGTATGTCCAATGAAGTCATGAGGTCTAAGGTGGATCACCTCTGAGAGCAGCTGATTACAGATGCTCTTAAGGGAACAAATGACCCAGGAGCAGACCCATCTTTGAGAGTAGATATAGGGCATATTGGGTGCAGAGAGCTTGTGCTCTTAGAGAGCAGAGCTTTGCATATATAAGCATTGGCTGTGAGAAGCCAGGGCTGGGGCTGTGGCAGAAACTGCTTTGTCAGCACAGACAGCAGTGGCAGAGCATGTTTCACAGGTAAATCCTCATTGTGGATAATCTAGTGCTCAGCTGTGCTGGGGGTGGGCTGGAGGTGTATGGGTGAGCTCATGTTCCCAGGCATTATGGGTCAACTTGAGGTTCCAGAGGGAGAGCATGGTATTAAGTCAACCTGCATATGGTCCACTCACATTCTCTTCAGGACAGAAGGTAGAGAGCTCAGCAAGGAGAACGAGGTCAGGCCAGTGACTGACAGCTCCTGGGGTAGGGAGTAGGGGTGTTTGTTGTTGATGTTTGCTTTTTAGTTCACCAATCTCTACAGAGGATGACTTGGCAGTTAGAGGGACAAACTAAGGGAAGGAGATGACACATCTGAGGTCTACATTGTCCTCACAGGTACATGATCTCCATGGCTCATTATAAGTCGATATGATTAGGCCCTGTTCATAGAAGACCGAGGCACAAGGAGGATCAGCTGACCTAACAGGAAGACTCAGCAACCAGCTTGTGATCTCAGGGTGGAGAAGTGGTACAACCAGGGTTCCGGTTCCAGTGAGGTGTAAAGGGCTCCACTTGTATTATTTGCAGACTCTAGCCCTGCCTCTTAAAAAAAAGTGCACCTCATATATTAAATGTATTTATAAGCTAAGTTCTTCAGATATCATTAAATCAACCTGTATATTGTGCACTCACATCCTCTGATGTTTTGTGCATTGTTTCCTTTTGCTGTTTCTTAGACCCAGAATGAAAGAAACAGCTCTTGCAGGGATGATAAACCAAACACCCTTCAACTGCTGGGTCCGGCTGACCACCCAGTCATATTTTCCAGGATCAAATGGGGGCTTCTTTGACTTAGGGAAAAAAATGCCAGCTCCCAAATGACTCATTGTAGTTTGGAAATTCCATAGATGATAGTGTGAATTCTAATTTATTACATAAAAATGCTACAGAACAAGAGACATTTACAAGATCTCAAACATCTAAGGCAATATTTTTAACAACAAAACAAACAGTCATTTTAATACAATTCCAGTATTCTTTCTCTCTATAAATATAATCCACAGGCCAGGCGCAGTGGCTCATGCCTGTAATCCCAGCACTTTGGGAGGCTGAAGTGGACGGATCATAAGGTCAGGAGATCGAGACCATCCTGGCCAACATGGTGAAACCCTATCTCTACTAAAAATGCAAAAATTAGCTGGTCATGGTGGTACACGCCTATAATCCCAGCTACTCAGGAGGCTGAGGCAGAATTGCTTGAAACCAGGAGGTGGAGGCTTCAGAGATCGTGCCACTGTACTCCAGCCTGGGCGACAGAGCAAGACTGTCTCAAAAAAAAAAAAAAAAAAATCCACAAATATTTGCATTTAGTGTAGGGAAGTGGGAATTCAACAGTGCTTGGCCCATCCTCAGACCCAGTCCTAGCCCAGGCAAGGAGGGCTGGCTGAGTCTTGGAAGGCCACCAGGCCAAGGGAAGAGGATGGGCAGCTGGTTGCCCTGAGGGGTTGGAGAAGGTTGTGGGGGGGGAGGAACAGAGATTCTCCCTTTGGGCATGGGGAGCCCCAAAGTGAGAAAATGAAGAGGCCAAGGGGTGAGGGTGAGGGGCCCCCAAGGGTGGGGAGAGATGCTTGGGATAAATGTAGGCTTAGTGTCAAGGGGAACAGAGGACAGAGACATGCTAGCTGGTGGGAAGGGTGGGTGTTCCAAGACTTACCAGGATGCTGGGCTTTTCACCTGTAGAACACCTCCAGGACAGCAGCTGCAGCCTATGAAAGGGAGGTGGTGGTGAGAACACAGTGGAGGAAGTGAGTGGTGAATTAGATTGCTCAATGCAACGCAGGGGTGGAGCTCCTGAGGGTGCGGGAGATTCTGATAAATTTGAATAATTAGTCCCCAGGTCAGCCCTCAGATGCATAGTCATTTCATGGACTCATAGAGTTTATATTGGAAAGGGACCTGATGGGTTTTCTAGCTAGTCTTTCCATTTTACAAATGGGAAAACTGAAGCCCAGAGAAGGAAATGGCTTGCCCAGGACTGCACGGATTTCTCTCATCTTTGCTGTATCCCAGAGCGCCTGGCTCCTTCAGCTGCCCTGTTTGAGTCTCCTGGCACTCCAGCTACCTCAGGTTCCCCCATCGTACCCTTGGCAGTAGCACTAAAGCTCTTGAATGTCTTTCATGTTTCAAGACAACAGAGCTGGACTGAAGCTTCTGGTGAGTCTGGTGGTGTTCCTGCCTGAACCTGATGCATCTACTCCTTGGCCCCACTCCTGCCTTCATCTTACCCCTCACTCCCCAACTGTCTGCTCTGACCACAAGTCCATCTCAGGGTATTGATATTCCTTCCTGGTTCATACACTAAGCATTGGGTCTGAGGATCCCAACTCTGCAGGAGCTACCACCCTTGGAGCCAAGACCCTCTAATTTGGAAAGAAAGCCTTTCGGTAGAAGTGAAGATCCCACCCAAGTCCAAATACGCTTTTCAAAACAGTATTGAGTGACCCTAAGAATGTATTTTATCAATTTGCTATTGATTACAAGTGAATGAATTAATCCAGGTAGAGCCATGAATGCTAATTCTGCTCCCTCCCAAGCTCTCTCCTCCGTTACTCCTTACCCTGTCTCTTGCTCCATGCATCCCAGGGCCCAGAGGGGACGCAAAGCCTGTGGCAGACACAGTTAAACTGCCTACCTAGCCCAATGAAAGAATCTTTGAGACCAACTGTTCAGCAAACATTCCTTAGTCTTCGTTACATCTCTTTCTCGTGCTGGGGAAGAATGCAATGCCACCTGGCCAGTTGATGCGAAAACCAGATAGAGGCCCATTACACATGGAGAGAGGCAGATGAGAGCAGAGCTGGCTGAGCAATTCTGGGCAAGTGACTTTTCCTTTCTAAGTCTCAGTTTACTCATCTGTAAAATGGGGCCAATGCAAAATCCAACTCATGGGATTGTGGTGAGGATGAAATGTGCGATTATTTGTAAAGCACTTAAGATATATGTAAAGTACAATGTTAGCTTTCATTGTTGTGATCATTATTACTGGAAAGCTTATTCACTGATAACATGCTGCCTCTCTCACCACATCCCCAGTCAAGGGAAAGCAGTGGGCAGTGGGTCTGCTTTCAAGGCTGACTTTGATGACATCTAATTTGCTTTGACCTGTGTATTAATTGTCATATTAACTGTAATGTTGAGTGTCTGCCAGGTTCTGGCTTCTGGGCAAAGTGCTTTTCAGAATTTATATAGTTAATCCTCAGGACAACCTCATGAAGTAGGCACTTTCTGGATGAGGAAACAAAGACTCTGAGAGGTTAAGAAACTTACGTAGAGTGACACAGCTGAACTAGGTTTTCAGCAGTTTAAAACACTTCTAAAAATCTGCTCTCAAATCCCATATCCTGTTCACTGTAATAAGGAGCAGGATCCCAGCCTCAAGTTTCTGAGCTCCATTAGGTTCCTCCCTGTGTCTCAGACAGCCAGATACAAAGGATGTAAAGAGGGGAGTCCAGATTTGATGTTTCCTAGTCAGCCTCTTTTTTCATGCCCCTTAGGTCAGTTTCATTTCCATAGAGATCACTGCGATTATACATAGGGTGGAGTGAATTAAAAAACTGGCTTCTGGCATGGTGGCTCACACCTGTGATCCCAGCACTTTGGGAGGCTGGGGTGGGTGGATCACTCGAGGCCAGAGTTCAAGACCAGCCTGGCCAACATGGTGAAACCTCGTTTCTACTAAAAATGCAAAAATTAGCTGGGTGTGGTAGTGCACACCTGTAATCCTAGCTACTCGGGAGGCTGAAGCATAAGAATTGCTTGAAATTGGGAGGCAGGAGTTACAGTAAGCTGAGATTGTGCCATTGCACTCCAGCCTGGGCAACCGAGTGAGACCCTGTCTCAAACAAAACCAAAACCAAAACAAAAACCTGGCTTCTAATCCTGGTTCTGCCATTTATGAGCTTGGAGAAGTCATTCTTTCTGGGCCTGGTGTATGCCTTTGCAAAATGGGAGCTTCTTCTAAGTCTATTCTGTCTAGCATGGTAGCTACTAGCCATGTGTAGCTATTTAAATTTAAATTAATTAAAATAAAGGCCAAGCAAGGTGGCCCATGCCTATAATCCAAGCACTTTGGGAGGCCAAGATGGGTGGATCGCTTGAGCCCAGGAGTTTGAGACCAGCCTGGGCAACATGGTAAAATGCTGGCTCTACAAAATTAAAAAAAAAAAAAAATCAACAAAACAAAACATTAGCTGAGTGTAGTGCCTGTAGTTGCAGCTACTTAGGAGGCTGAGGTGGGAGAATCACTTGAGATTTGGAGGTTGAGGCTGTAATAAGCCAAGATCATGCCTCTGCACTCCAGCCTGGGCTTTGGGGTGAGACCCTGTCTCATACACACACACATACACAAGGGAAAAAAATGAAAATGAAAATTCAGATCCTTAGTTACACTAGTCACATTTCAAGTGCTCAGTGGCCACATGTGACTAGTGGCTACCATATTGGATAGGGCAAATCTGGAACAATTCTATTACTGCAGAAAATTCTTTTGTACAGCACTGTCTAGGTGAAGAGTTAGTTGTCTTTAGCTCTAAGGTTCTACACTTCTCAGGGGCCTCAGAAGAGGCTGAAATTTCCAGATCCCTTCCATTAGAAGCACATCCCCAGTATCTCAGACTGAACAGGTCACCTACCTGCTGTTATTAGAGTGTCCACCGAAGTCTTCAATATGCCTCAAGGTTGGGTGGTAGTCAGAGCTGTTACACAGAAAAAAAATGAAGCAGCCTGGATGATGAAACTTCTGGGTTGAGAGGGGGGAAATCGAGGAGGCCCTCCTGGGGAGGTGTTCCTACAGAGGAACAATAAGGTCTGTCCTGGGACTTTGACCCAGGACAGGTGCCACCTAGTGATTCTGGGATGAGCGCTGCGGATTTTCACATCTTCCTGTCTGATGGCTTCTGGAGGAGACTGCCAGTCTGAAGGTGGAGATTTGCCTACCCACCTTCTGTCTCAGAGTGTTCTGAACCCGAACTTCCTTTTTTAACAGGGAAGATGCAGGCATCCCAGCCCCCCTCAACAGACTAGTCGGAACTCACACGCAGTTTCTTCCTTCTTTCCAGGGTCAGAGTGAGAAATGTCCCTCCTTCTGTTTCTGTTGAATCCCCTGCACCTGACCGTGGGACCCATTGCCTCTCTGATCCTTGAGGATCCTGCTTTCTCCCCGCTCTGTCCTGGCTCTTTTCCTTCCATCATACCTTACTTATGCCTTTATCACGCTCCCTCTGTCCTAGTACCCTTTTGCTAACACAGCTGCTCTCTCGGCTTCCTCTGCTGCTCAACAAATACACTGCAACTGCCTTCCTTCCTACTGCTCCACTGAAATAGCTTTTGCCAAGGTTTCCAATGACCTCTGGGTTGCTACACCCAACAAATTCATTTTTTTTAGACTGGACTGCTTTTTTTCCGCCTAAGAGAGCAGACTGAGGCAGTGTTAGCATGCCTCTCCCACTTGGAAGGACAGAGTAGTGTGTAGAGATTCACACTGTGAATTTTTTTCTCCAGGAACGAATGCAGGAAGTGAACAGGAAAACTGGAAGAATCCACAGAACTTTTGAAAGAAGTGGCAGGCTGCAGCCTACTCTGTGAGACAGGCAAAAAAACTCACCTCAAGGTAGAATAGTACTGGACTCAGGAAGGAGAAAACGGCTGCCTATTTTCAGCGATCACCACTGCTTACAACACCCTGACTAACCAGAAGTCCTGAGTCTGTCCACGTGATAAGTTCACTATAATTATAATCAGCATTAGAGAGAGTCAGCACTCTAAGCCTATCTACAGCCAAGGAAACTTGCAGAGTTTATGTCACTCTCCTCCCACTTCTGTCAGAGGTGGTGCTGGTATCTTCTGCTGGGAGTCTTAAAGATAGGTCACATTAGTGGATCCCTTGTAGACATTCCCCAGCACCAGCCCAAAGTCTGGCTAGACCCAGAAGAGCACTGTAGTCTGGCTCTCAGGAAGTCCCATTCTTAGAGGAAGGGGGAGAAGATCACATCAGGGGAATACCCTGTGGGACAAAAGAATTTGAATGGCAGGCCTTGAGTCCCAGATTTTTTCACTGGTGGGAAGTTTCCTACAGCAGAGATACAAATGCCATGCTGGGCAGAGGAGGAAAATTTTGCATCTCTACCCCAAAAGGCAGGCAGCCTCTAGCATTGGGAAGGGTCTTAGAGAAGGGATCCTTGTTCCCCCTGCTATACCACTGCAGACAGAGCTGGAGCTTCTCCCAAGGGAATGTAGCATTGATGCACATATAGACAGCCTTCCTGGAAAAAACCAGGGTGATTGCATCCCCATGGGAGGAATACTTTTCACATTCAGGCTTGCATGACAGGCAGTCACAATTCCTCTCTGCTTGGAATATCAACATTTCTACAGATGAAAAGAACTGCCTGTCTGATCTGAATAGCCAGAACTCTGGGACAGGAGTGAGGCTGGGAGGTGAATAGCTTTCCAGCTGGCCTGGTGGGGGTCCTGAGGTAGCTCCTACCCTTCACCCTGAGAAAACCTCAGCACGTCTAATTGAGATCTCTCCCAGCCACCTTCATCAAGGCTGAGATCTCTGCTCACCATTGGGTATTGCATCTACCCACCTGCTTTAGCTACAACTGCTGCCTACCCAGGGATACTTCCCCTACTGGTCTGAAGCCTGAATGATCAGCTCAGTAAATAAAATATTGAGGAAAAATTAAATAAATAAATAAAGAGTACACAATGAGAGAATGAATAAGTTTAAAGAGATTCCTGCCATTTCAACCTCATAGGAGACAGTAAACCTTCCCACACACCAAGTACATAACTACTACCACCAAGATCTGGGAAAGCCAGTGCACAAAGACTCTAACTAAGGAACTCACACAGAATCTTCACTCCTAAAAGCCAAAAGTCTTCACCCATGAAAACCAAGGATCAAATTAAGCTAAAATAAACTATAAACATTAAAGTCAGATCCTTAAGAAGAAAGAAAAAGAAATTTAAAAAAATAGTCAAATCAAAAATAATTCAAGAATAACTTGAAAATAATTCAAGAAAAATAATTCAAGAATAACTAGTCTACCCAAATGAGAAGGAACCAGAAAAGTAATTCTAAGAAGGGCTAAAGGAAGGAGTTTTACCCAGTTTTCACTGGTTTCCAAAATTAATTTTGTAAGAGTACTTTTAAAGTTACGATTCATGCATTCTACCTGTCCAGAGCTCTGGGGTTGGTAGGCACAATCAAGTTTCCATTGCATAGCTAACGCCTTGCTGACAAGATTTAAGCAGGAATGTTAAACCCAGCATGGACAGAGATATTCGTGTCTTGGGGGTCTGGAGAATCAGCAAGCTAGGAGTCTTATAACCAGTAGAAGTAGGAATAAGGTTATAGCCAATGCTTCTTGCCACATAGAGACTGCTGTAGCGGGAGAGAATGTGTCCTCCACTTGGCTTTGTATCCAAGGTACCTCTGATGCTTCCCAACATCCTTTAACTTAAAAGGATAAACTATTGCAGAAAGATAAACAGTTGCAGATGTAGGGGATTTCAGTTATCAGCAGACACATTCCAAGGGGCATCTGGTACTACCAGCAGGCACATCCCAGGAGTGGCTGGTATAGCTTAATTCAGTATCTTACCAGCAAGGACATTCCTGGGTCTGCTTGGAGTTAG